ACCTCTGCGCCCCTCCCCGCCGGCCTGTTAGGGCCCCCCACACTCCCGGCCCCGCCCCCTCCTGGTACAACAGACCAGTTGAGTGCAACGGACCCACAGGCGCCATGGAGACTGCCTCGTCTCTGGTGAATCCCGCGGGGGAGGTGATCGAGGACACGTACGGGGCCGGGGGCAGCGAGGCCTGCGAGATCCCGGTGGAGGTGAAGCCCAAGGCCCGTCTGCTGCGCAACTCGTTCCGCAGAGGCGCGGGCGCGGCGGGGGTCGGACCCGGGTTGCTGCCCCGCGCGGCAGGTGGGGGCGGGCTGCTGGGCGCCAGCTTCAAGTCCACCGGCTCGTCGGTGGCAGAGCTGGAGTACGCGGCGGCCGAGTTCGAGCGGCTCAAAAAGGAGTACAAGATCTTCCGAGTCAGCAAGAACCAGGAGTTGTTCATGGGCCGCCGGGAGGCCAAGCTGGACACCGAGAACAAGCGGCTGCGGGCGGAGCTGCAGGTAACGCCGGGCCCCAGCGCCGCGGAGCGGGAGACGCTGGGGAAACTGAGGCCCGGGCGGCCTGCCCGCGCTGCGCCGCCGCTTAGTCGCGCCGTCAGGCTGCGCTGGGGACGCTGACCCCGCCCCTTGTCCACCCTGTCCTCTCTACACACCAAGGAGTTTCCAAAGTTGCACAGAAACTGCTCTTGGTTGCGAGGGGCCATTCTGAGTCTAAACTGCTTCTCGGCTCCTCTTCTCGGCTTCTGGGTCATTCGTTCAGACACCCTGAAGCAGTCAGACCTAGAGCGACCTGAAGCCTCAGATGCCACACAACTGGCGACATCTGTCGAAATTCCACAAACTCCTCCCAGGAGTGTTGCCCCTCCCCCAAGTGAGCGTATCTCCAAGATGGAACTCCAGGCTGTTTCTTTGTGACGTTTCACAGCTGTTGGGTTTTAATAACATAACAAATTTTTCCGGAAGCCTCTTGATTTTCACCACTTTTAACTGCTGCTGGTCGAAACCTTCCCTGGATGTACTCAACCTCCAGTAGTCCATTTGATTAATGGGCTTAACGGTTATTGTACGGGCTGGTTGTAGCAGATCAAGTTCAATTCATTCAGATAGTACATAAAGCAGAATTTCTGAGAGCAAAATTCTAGGACTTTATGCCCTGGGTTTGGGGTCTCTCTGATGGTTATTGTCATTTGTTTACTCCCTTCTTTACCCTGGGAGGGACTTCCTGCAGCCCAAGAGTTACTGGGCTCATCGCAGTAGGAATTAAAAAACACTACAGATTCCTCTGTGTAAAAGAAATCTTGCAGGCAAGGCATCATTCCGATCAAGTTTTATAAAGCCCTTCATTACTTGTGCTATTAGCATATTACCGGGGAAGGTGTACTTACCAGCAACTGCCTGCTGCCATCATTTTCCTACTGGAAAGCCTTAATGCACTTGTCCATGTAAAGTGGACTTGTGTGTTTCTGATATCATGCTGCCCATTGGAAACAACTGTGAGATGGCAAGGCAGGAAAGGGCAAGGCAGAAGGGGCCCGGTCTCAGATTCTGTCACCAATCCTTATTCCTGTGTAACCCATGTGGTTCCTTTTCACATGTATAGGCTTGAGGAAACTCTTCCACATTTATTTAATTCATTCCTGTAGACATTTACTGGAGACATACAGTGGACCTGGCACTGAGCAGCTCAGGGGATAGTAAATGACTAAGAGTGGCAAGGAGCACTTGCCATTTTGTCATCAGTTATCCTTCAAGTGAAGCCTTACAAATTGATTTTCTTATGTTAGAGAGAGAAGAATGGAGGTGTGGGAAAGCTTTAAAGCTGCTACAGTATGTCAAAGAAAAAGTATGAATTTCCACTGAAAGCTTAGTGTTGAAGAATCCGCTTGCTATGATTCAAACATGCTTGCATTTTTTTTCTATTGTGCTTAAGTAAAACAACACACTAGAGGGCAACTAATGAAATAGTGAAAAGATGATTAAATCCTTAGATATGTAACATTATGTAGGAATGTAAAATGTGGGTGAAAGGCTGGTTTTTGTTGAAAGATAACAATGTGAATTATTCTAGGCACTTCAAAAAACCTATCAGAAGATACTTCGGGAAAAAGAAGGTGCTTTAGAAGCAAAATACCAAGCTATGGAGAGAGCAGCCACATTTGAACATGACAGAGATAGAGTTAAAAGGCAATTCAAGATAAATCATTGTGTTTTGTGTTTTACCCGCCCCCCAAGTGACAAAGAATAAAACCAGCATTTTTAAAAAGTTTATCAAATACTGTGATGAAGAGAGGGAAACCAAGAAGGTTATAAGAGCTACAGAAAAATGTGTGTTATATATTTTTTGAAGTTCTTGTAATTTTAAGAAATATTTTATTTTATTTATTTTTATTTAATATGTATGGGTGTATTGCTTGCATGTAGATAGGTGCACCCAGGTCTTGCAGTGCCTGTGGAGGTCAGAAGAAGGCATCAGATCCCCTGGAACTAGAGTTACAGACGGTCGTTAGCTGCCATGTGGGTGCTGGGAATTGAACCTCAATCTTCTGCAAGCACAGCTGGTGCTCTTAACCACTGAGCCTTCTCTCCAGCGCTGTGTTTCATATTTTTGAGTTGGACACGTTTTATTTGCTACAAAAATGTGAAAAGTGAACACTTTAAGAATTTGAAAAATAAATGTGTTTCTACATGAGGCAAAGCGTTTGAAAATGTTTGGGGGTATTGTCTATAAGGGGCCGTTACTGTATTTGGCATGAGGGAAACAGATCTGCTAAATGTCATATAAAACACACATCTACCCTGCGAGAATTCCAGTGGGTTTCCTGATGAAAGTTTTGGTGTACTCATCCTGCTCCAAAAGAGGACACCAAGGATCAAATGAATGTTGACGTTATTAATAAAAGGGGTTTTCCCTGTAAAGCAGATAGCACAACTTTTTGATTATGAAAATTTTCAAAATTCAAATTCTCCTTTTTAAAGATTTTTAGGGAGACCAAAGAAAATGAAATTCAGGACTTAGGGCGAAGCGAGAGCTGGAGAGCAAACTTCAGAGGCTACAGGCTCAGGGGATCCAAGTGTTTGACCTTGGGGAGTCTGATTCAGATTAGCACAACTTTTTGATTATGAAAATTTTCAAAATTCAAATTCTCCTTTTTAAAGATTTTTAGGGAGACCAAAGAAAATGAAATTCAGGACTTAGGGCGAAGCGAGAGCTGGAGAGCAAACTTCAGAGGCTACAGGCTCAGGGGATCCAAGTGTTTGACCTTGGGGAGTCTGATTCAGATTATGGGGCATGCGCGCTCTCTCTGGGCGCACTCCCAGAATGGCACTCCCCCGCCGCACCTGGCTAGTTGCTGGCGGGTCTGGCCACAGGCGTCTCTGGCCGCGGCGGTGGGTGCCCTGCAGGTTTTTCCCAGCGGCTCGGGTCCCGTGTCTCTGGAGCTTCTCTGCTGCAGAAGCGTTGTTCTGCCGAATCCTGTCCCTAATCCACCCGTGTACTCTTCCTCAGGATGAGAGGTCCACTGGCCACTTGGGCCTCACGGGAAGAAGTACGGGGACAGCGAAAGCTAAGATGTCCACGAGTCGGTAATGAGGGAGTGCGCCCCCCGGAGAGATTGGGCCACCGGTAGTGACACAAGACTCAAGACTTAGTCTGTGCTACAGCTTTATTCTCTGAGATCCAGCTCTCTGTGTCCCAGTTCTCTGCAGCCTAATTCTCTGACTAAGACATTTATACCATGGGGGTAGTGGTAAAAGCTTTGGCTGTTAGATCCTTTGTGAGGCATTGTATTTACATATGGAAGTGGGTTTCTGCCAGACTGCTGTCTGCTAGGAAAAATTACAGGAAGGCATGGTACCTGTTAGAGCCAAAGGCCATGTTTATGTTATGGCATTTGTGGCCGACACTTCAAAAGGAGAGACAGGAAAGATGCCAGGAAGACACCCTGCTGTGAAAGGAGCCCGCAGCACATGATCCCGAGCTGCATGAGCTGTCCGGTCAAGAAGGGACTTCGACTTTGCATAACAGAGGCTCCCAACA